AGGATCAGACCCTGTGTTTCCCAAGCAGTCGGCAGGGTGGTGCCATTTGTCCTCAGTGTGGTGCTACCAGGAGCCACAGAGCAGACGGGGGTGCTGCTCCCTGGCAATGTCAGGGTGGGCTTCAGAGWCTGGAGAAGTCAAATCCCTTCTGGAAAGGTCACGTCCCTGACACAGCCTGAGTCAGCGCGTGGCTGCACCCTGCCCGTGGCTGACCACTGACGCAGGTGCCGGGGATTCAGGGCACAGGAATGCGGGTGGCCCCAGCCAAGGGGCAGTGGGGACATCCCTTGTCACTCATTGACCTGCTGGCATTGAGGCCAACTTGTCATTACTAATTAGGAGCCACTATTAAAGGGGGAGGGGGAAGTTTTGTGGCTGCACGATGCCTGTGGCTCCACTCGCCAAGAACACGTCCTGCCCAGGGAGGGGGACCTGTGCTGAAGCCCCACATTGTCTCTCCCCTGCAGGTGCCTGTGGGAGACGCGGGGAGCCAGCATGTCACAGCCCAGCGCACCCCCACCCTACGATGACAAGAACCCGCTCTACCCCCCGCCCCCAGCGGGGTACCCCCAGCCCCCCCACTATGCTGGGGGGTACCCGCAGCCCGGGGGGTACCCGCAGCCCGGGGGATACCCTGCAGGGGCGGGGTACCCGCAGCCAGGGGGGTACCCAGCATCAGGGAGGTACCCTCATCCGGGGATGGCCATGCCCACCATGCCTATGCGGTTCGGTAAGTGGGGCACCTTGGTTTCTTTGGGGAGGGCMCTATAAACAGGGGTGCTGTGAGGGGCTGCACAGCTGACCCTGGTACTGAGGGGTGTCCACCACCACAGGTGAYGATGGCCTTGGGGATGGCTCCCCCTTCCAATCAGTTGACTGGGACGACAGAAAAGTCCGGCACACCTTCATACGCAAGGTGAGTCCTGAGGGACGAGAGGCACCTGGCAGAGTGGGGGTGACCCAAGTACTGACCCTCCTGTCTCTTGCAGGTCTATGCCATCATCTCCCTGCAGCTCCTGGTGACAGTGGGAATCATCTCCGTGTTCACCTTTGTGTGAGTAGAGGGTTCCTCCTTACCCTTGTCTTGAAAAGGAGGGGAGCCTGACCCTGTGTTCCTTGGGGGGTGTTCAGAGGGGACAGTAGCTGCTGTCTTGTCTCCCTCACACTCGTCCCTCCTGTCCCACAGCAACCCTGTCCGCTCCTTYGTCCAGAGGAATGTCGCCGTCTACTACGCCTCATAGTGAGTAGGGGCTCTGCCAGCTCGCAACCCCCCAGCTCGTGCCCCCACATYCGCAGCCTCCCAGCCCAGGGGCTGGTCCTGCTAGGGGGTTGTGGGGCTGACACCTGCTGTCCCTTCTTGCAGTGCCGTGTTCCTGGTGACCTACCTAGTGCTGGCCTGCTGCCAGGGTCCCCGGTGAGTCTCTGGGACCCCCAGGGTGGGGTGTGTGGATATGGGGGTGGTGTCTCCAGAGAATCAAGATGGGTTCATGCCTGGGGCTGCCCCTGGGTGATGGGAACCAGGGGGACACGRCCTGGTTGCTGTTACTAGCTCACCTCTCTCCTGTTTCATCTTCAGGAGACGCTTCCCCTGGAATATTATCCTGCTGAGCATCTTTGTGAGTGGGCTGGGACTGGTGAGGGGTCCTGGTGGTGCCCCATGGTGGGCTGGGAGGGATAGGAGGATGTGTGGGCAGGTGAGCAGCCCACTGAGCTCACCCTTCTCTCCCACAGACGCTGGCCATGGGGCTGATGACAGGCACGATTGCCAGGTACGCCCTGGGGACCCTGCGGTGGCAGGATCCTGTCCTCCACAATGCAGCCAGCTCAAGTGAGAGGCTGCAGGGAGCCAGGGGACACTCCAGTCCCTTTGGCTCAGGGACTGTAGGGTTCCCATCCAGGACGGGCTGTGGGGGAGGGTCAACAACACACCCCTCTGGCAGGGGGATGCTGATGTGGGAGGTGACTGCTGTCCCCTGTCTATAGCATGTACCAGACKAAAGCTGTCCTGATTGCCATGATCATCACTGCCATTGTGGCCATCGTTGTGACGATCTTCTGCTTCCAGACCAAGGCAAGGAGAGGGATGCACCCTGCCCTGCCCTCTGTGGGCCAGGTGGGGGGAGCTGGTCAATGGGGACACCCCGGGCTCTCCTGTGACATACATGTGTGTGTCCCCATCAGGTTGATTTTACATCGTGTCCRGGGCTATTCTGCGTGCTGGGCATCGTGGTCATGGTGACTGGGATTATCACTGCCATTGTCCTTTCCTTCAAATATGTGAGTGGGGGGGACACAGGGGCTGTGGGGTGCTGTGGATGTTCCTGGTTGGGTATCCCGAGGGCTGGTGCAAGCAGGGGTTTGGGTGGTCCCTTTTCTGGGAAGCAGGGTGTGGTGCCAGGCATGGAAGGCAGCTTGCCTGCAGGGAGAGGGTGTGTCAGCATCAGCAGCAGCTCCTTGGGAGCCGGGTGCGGGCAGGACCTGCCCTGCCTTGCCTGCTGCCTGCCAGCAGCCCCGCTCACCCTGCCCGTGTCCCCTTCCTGCACAGGTCCCCTGGCTCCACATGCTGTACGCGGCCATTGGGGCCATCGCGTTCACACTGGTGAGTTGAYGGCTGGAGTGTGTGCAGAGTGTGTYGGGCAGGGACTGGGGATGGAGCAATTCCCCCTTGGTCCTTTCCTGACACTCTCTGTCCCCGCAGTTCCTTGCCTATGACACCCAACTCGTGCTGGGGAACAGGAAGAACACACTGAGCCCCGAGGAATACGTCTATGGTGCCCTCACCATCTACACCGACATCATCTACATCTTCACCTTCATCCTGCAGATAGTGGGCCGGGATTAGCCCTGGGACTCCTCCTGTCCCTCTCCGGCTGTCCTTCACCCCTCCTCTGGTCTCTGTACAGGATAGTCTGCTTAACTGTGACTCCTAATGCTTTGGCATTCCTACTTGTAGGCTGCTAAGGAAAGGGCTTTCCTTGATCATCCCCCAACAAGCCTCTGAGGGCAGTGGAGGGGTCTAGGTGCCAGCAGTTAGGCAGTTTAGTCCAGTTCTGGCACTGCTTACCAAGGCTGTACAAATGGCGTTGGGCTGGCAGTGGAATGTCACAGCCCTGCCTGGGCACAGGGAGTTGGCAGCGGCTGCTGGGAACGTGTTGGATTTTTTTGGCAGAGAACAGTTGGTGTCRTTCACTCTGTGCCTTAAATGTGGCTCTAGCCATGCCCCATCCCCAAGCTGTTGCTGTGCCTGGTGCAGGCAGGGAGCAGCTGGGACCTCCGTGACAGAGCTCACATTGCACAGGCTCTGCAGCCACGGATGTGGGCAAAGTTGCACTTGCTAAATAAAACACTTCAGTTTTCCAGACGCTCCCTGTCTTATTGGTGTGGCAACTCCCTCAAAAACCTGTGGGCAGCCTCAGCAGGGGCTACRGCCTGGTGCAGCACAAACACTGCTTTAGGATGGGAAAACCAAGGTCAAACTGCTCCAGGCCTGGCCTGCCCCCCTGCCTGTGGGCACAAGCCTGTTGCAGAACAGCTGGGCCCYCCCTGCTGAGGCAGGCAGAGCCTGAGGATGAGCAGTGAGGGAGCAACCACAGTGGTACTGAGCTGTTTCACTTTATTTGTTCCTATTCAGCTCCATGACTGCTTCATGGTGTAGACAGGCAGGGCAGGTGCCAGTGTCATGTGCTCCATGGGGCTGGTGTCCCCTTGGCCAGTCCTTCCAAGGTGCCACCTGGGGATGAGGGGGGCAGCTTGTCTATGCCCCCCTGACCACCCTCTTGTATCGCTCTGTCTCATACTCGCCCTGGTTGGCTTCCATCATCTTTTGGCGGATTTTGAGCTGTTCAAGGCGGTTTTTGTCCACTTGCCGTTTGGCCAGGAGGAAGAGGATGATGCCGGTAGGCAATCCAATGGCCCTGCAGGACAGCCAGCAGTTAAGGAGATGGAGAGARTTGGCGGGGAAACTGTGCCACTCCGGGGCTGCATGGACAGTGCTGTGCTCAGCTCTACAGTGCCCCACGCCTCCCGTTCCACCACAGTTCCATAGAGCAGCGCAGCCTCCCAGTGMCAATCCTCTCCCAGCACCCGAGCCACTCACCAGGCCACCCCCACTGGCTTCATCGGGTTCTTGGCCTTGCGTGTGGGGATGTACTCCACCCCCTCGGGGAGTCCCCCGCTGCCAGGCTCCGGACTGGCCCGTTGTCCCGCCGGCCGGTGGCAGYTCCGCCCAAGGAGCCGTGTGCGCCGGGGGTCCGGCCGCCCCCAGGCCCTGGTGGGACACGCTGCCACCAGCAGTCCTAGGCGGAGAGAAGCAGGAGGAGCAGCCATGGGGTAGAGTGTTACGGGGCCCAGGCCGGGCTGCCTGAAGCTCCTGTCCCTGCCCTTACCCCTGGTGGCCATTCCCTGTTCATCCCCATCCCGACCCCCATCCCCCGTCCCCCTGCCATAGCCTCCGCCCTTCCGCCAGAGGGCGCTCGAAGGCGGAGTCTGAGCCCCGCGGAGCGTGACCAAGCCTGGAGGGGCGTGGCTGTAAGCCCTTCCCTCAGCGGGGCGGGCCGGGGTGCGTCTGGGGGCCGTGTGCCGGAGGCTGCGGGACCGTGCCGTGAGGGCGGCGGCGGGACTGTCCTGGTCCCCCCACCCCGGGGCTGCCCCGTGCACCCGCGCGCCGCCGYCCGTTACCCCACAATCCGCCTCGCGCCGCCGCCATGGTGCCCTTGTGCTGCGGTCCCGCTGCATGCCGGGAATTGCAGTCCCGCCGCGCAGGAACGGTGGGCGGGCGGCGCTGCACGGCCCGTGCTCAGAACTACATCTCCCATAGAGCATGGCGCGGGGCGGGGCCTGCCCGCTCTGCTGGCGGAACAGGAGGGGCCCCGCGCGGCCTCGGGCCGTGGTTGGCGGGCGGTGGGCGGGCACTGGCTGGGGCGGGGCGCGCGGCGGAAGCGGCGGAAGCGGCGGAAGCGGCGGAAGCGGCGGAAGCGGCGGAAGCGGCGGAAGCGGCGGAAGCGGCGGAAGCGGCGGCGGCGGCGGGGTGGGTCGGCATGGAGCCCGGGGAGGGCCCGGGGCCGCTGGGCCTGCACGGCGACGAGGAGATCATCGAGGTGGTGGAGCTGGGCCCGCTCGGGCCGGGTGAGACGGGGTGCCCTGCGTCGCGCACCGGACAGGGCCTGCAGGGGCTTCTGCCTCCCGCCGGGACACCGGGAGCGCTGCGGCCCCACCCCACTGCCAGGCCTGGCCGGTGCATCCCCCTGGCCGGCGGCCTCTCCCCGCATAGCGCCTGCTTCCCCTGCGGTTTCCCTGCTCTGGGTCCCGTGGCCGCGGCGGCGTCGCGCATTCCCCGCTGCCCCGTCCCGCAGGGACCCCCGCTGCCCGCCGAGCCCGCAGCCTGAGAGGGCTGAGCCGGGCAGGCCCCGAGCCGCGCCGTGACCTTCGCCCTCTGCAGATGACCTGGCCGAGGAGATGGAGGACGTGGACTTTGAGGATGAAGGGGCAGAAGAGCCGGATGCCGAGGCTTGGGACTCGGAGGATGACGAGGGGCTGGAGGACGGCATGGAGGCACAGGACGACAGTGAGGTCACGTTCTCCCTCCACTCGGGTGAGTGCTGAGCACGGGCAGCAGCGGCTGGGACTCCTCTCGGGACCTGGTCTCACCTTAGCTTTTCCCAGAGCCCAGGGGTGCAGAGGGCCTTGCCAGGTTGCTGTCTCCCAGCCTTCCTGGGACAGCCATCAGGAGTCAGACCTGTCCTGGGCTTGTTTCTGCCTTATGCTCTGGCAGAGGAGCCCTTTGGGCCTCCCATCATGGCAGCTGGCCCTAAGCTCAGCAGAAAGCCTGTGCTGCTCTTCCCCGACGTGAAGAATTGATTCCCACTGGGCTGGGTTGGAAGTTCAACTTGCTGACATCTTACCCAGACCCAGTGCTGCGTGGGGTTTAGATCCGCTGGGAACATCAGGTGAGGCAGGATCGGCACCTTATTCATGCAGCCTCTCTTTACTCTTTTGTGAAGCTTCTGTCTTCTGTGTGAGCCTTGACCCCAAGACCAACACGCTGGCAGTGACAGGTGGGGAGGACGACAAGGCTTTCGTGTGGCGTGTGAGCGATGGGGAGCTCCTGTTTGAGTGCTCAGGTGAGGTGCAGTGAAGAGCTGTGTCCCCTCCCAGCTGGTTCTGTCTGGAAGCATTTTTCCCCAGCTGATGCTGTGCTGGAGCTGTGCTGACCATCTTTCATAGCTTGGCTTGAGCAGTCTCTGTCCCCTGATATTTTTAGGACACAAGGACTCGGTCACCTSTGCTGGCTTCAGTYACGACTCTGTGTTCGTGGCCACGGGTGACATGTCTGGGCTTATCAAAGTGTGGCGGGTGGATGCCAAGGAGGAAGTGTGGTCCTTTGAGGTGGGGGACTTGGAGGTGAGTAGTGGAACCCCTGGTGCCGTGGGAAGCTCCCCAGCCAGCAAGTGGGGCAATAGCACCTCTGTGACACTGCCTGTCCCTCTCTCTGCCCAGTGGATGGAGTGGCACCCTCAAGCCCACGTACTTCTGGCAGGCACGGCTGATGGCAACACCTGGATGTGGAAGATCCCCAGCGGGGACTGCAAAACTTTTCAGGGTCCAGCATGCCCAGCCACATGTGGCAGGATCCTGCCTGATGGTGAGGCATGGGCCCTCTCTCCAGCCTCCAGCTCTGTGTGGGCCATCTGCCCTCCTGCTTCTGCCAGTCTGTGCTGAGTGGGAGGTGGAGGGATGAGGAGGGCCCTTTCTCTATCTGCTGTCTCTGTCTCACCCAGGGAAGCGAGCAGTGGTGGGATATGAGGACGGGACCATGCGCATCTGGGACCTAAAACAGGGAACCTCGCTGCATGTCCTGAAAGGTAAGGAAGAGGTTTATCACCGAGGGTGCTCTCACCTGGGAAACAGCCCTTTTAGTGGGATTTGACCTCTGCCTGGGTGGAGAGGGGGCATCCTGTGAGGACTGGGGGGAGCCTGGCACTGAGTTTCCCTGTTCCCACTGGTTCCTTGCCAGGGTGCTGGCAGAGCTGGGCAGGGTGGAGGCTGCAGGAGGATGGGTTTTGACATCCACTGGGTCTCTGTGGGGAGGACACGTAAAGCTCATACCTGCTGCTCCCTCCTCAGGCCAGGATGGCCATCAGGACCCCTTGACGTGTGTGGCCAGCAACCAGGATGGCAGTTTGATCATGACGGGCTCTGTGGACTGTCATGCCAAGCTGGTCAACTCTGCCACGGGCAAGGTGGGTCTGTGTGGGGAGGGCAGAGCCAGGAGCGCTGGGGACCCCCAGGGCCATCGTGCGGCCATTGGCAGCCAGCAGGCGGCGCCCTCGCCTCGCCGGTGGAGCCTGGGCTGGAAGTTCCCTCTTGTTTGCTCCCAGGAGCTGAGGATTTGGGGCCGGGGCTTGTTCTGCTGAGGGTGCATGCAGGCTTGGTACCGAGTAAGGAACAGGACCTCTATGCATCGGGGTTTCCTTCCCTCGGGGTACAGTCACCCTCCCTCTACCCAGGTGGTGTGCGTGTTCAAGATGGAGAGTGTGACCCCCAAGGCACCCATCGGTGAGGGCGAGGAGGCAGAGTCCAACTCGGTGGAATCACTGGGCTTCTGTAATGTGTGAGTGTTGGGACAGCCCCTCTTCAGTGCTAGATCTTATAGGGGTTGTCAAACTGATCCATTTGCATCCCTTGCGTGCAATCCTTCCCGGCTGGGCATGGAGATCCGAGATCACTTGGGTGTTAGGCCAAGGAACAACAGCTGCTCAGTTCTTCCTGCAGCTGTTGAGATTCTGGCCTAGCCTGATGGACCACTGTTTGGCTGGGGTACTCTCTGGACATGGCGAGAATTTTCCTGGACCTTGTTGTCTTGCTCACGAACCATGGGCTGGTTGCTGACTTGCTGTCCTACTGGATTTCCCGAATGGGGTGTTTCACAGCTCCAGCCATCATGTTGTCCCTCATCTTAATACATTGCAGCCCTCAGCACAGGGTTGGCCTTGACCTGAATCGTTTTCATGTTTTCATCCCTGCTTCCCCATGTTCCATGTAACGCCTGTTCCCCTCTGTGCAGGATGCCACTGGCTGCCGTGGGCTACCTGGACGGCACACTGGCTATTTACGACCTCTCCACACAAAGCCTGAGACATAAGTGCCAACACGAGGTACTGCCCTACGCCCTCTTGCAAGGCCTGGGAGGTGGGCTTTGGGCCTGTTGGAGATCTTTGAGTCCAGGGGCCAGTTCCCAATTTGTGCTTCTCCTTTAGCCTTGGGCTTCCCCAAAGGCAGCCGCAGTCTCTGCACAGCAGATGTGCTTGGCCCTGGGTTCTGGCTCTCCTGTGGGGATGGCAGATACTGTGGAGGGGTGGGGGGACACGGGGGGAACTAAGACTCACTGGAGCTCCCTACCGTGGTCTTGCCCTGCCCCAGTCAGGGATTGTGCAGCTGCTGTGGGAGGAGAGCTCGGCCGTGGTGTACACCTGCAGCCTGGACGGGGCAGTGCGGCTCTGGGATGCCCGCTCAGGGAAGATGATCAGCGAGTACCGAGGGCACTCTGCTGAAATTCTCGACTTTGCTGTCAACAAGTGAGTACGCAGCCCATAGACCTCTTTCCTGCTGGGTGAAGGGAGCAGGGATGGCAGGGGCCTCCAGCCTCAGGAGGTTGATTCACAAATTGATTCTCTTCTTTGGGTGTCCTTGGGCTCTGGTCCCGAGGTGGGGGACAGACCCAGGTCCATGCTGAGACTTGAGTGCCTCATGGGGGGGGTTTAGCACTTCAGAGCTGGGCCAGGAGTGATGGTCAGGGATACTGGAAGCCAGGAGTGATGGTCAGGGATACTGGAAGCCCCCAGTCCCACCTCTGAGCCCTGTCTCCCTGCAGGGATGCCTCCATTGTGGTGACCACCTCTGGCGACCACCAAGCCAAAGTGTTCTGCGTCCAGCGCCCCGATCGCTAGAACAGTGTCAAGGGATGATGCCCCGGCGTTGCCCTGCGCCTTGTCTACAGAGGGATGAGGAATATGGTTTCACCACCCTTCCTTCTCCAGTGCGTGCTTTGTAATTTTCCAGCCTGCCCTGCTTTGCCCTCACCAGCTAAGGGCCAAGCCGGGGGTTTTGTATGAAGATGTCTTTTAATTATATAAATTATTTCACTTAACTGAATGCCATCTACTCTGCTTGTTGGGGGGAAGAGGACCTGGGGAGCTATGCTCCCTCCTCAGGGATCTCCCCAGCATCCAACCATGGCCTGAGATCAGTGGCAGAGACTCCCATCCTAGCTCTCCCTGCTAGGGGGAGTAAGGGGGTCAGGGTAGGAGGGAAAGGTGCAGGTTGCTAGCTAAAGGGAGGAGAATCCTGCTCTGTACAGCCCAGGAGTTCCCTAATAGAACAGGCTATTTCCCCAATATGGGTACAGCACCCCTAAGTTCACCACAAGTCATTTGTTTCACAATACAGGAATTATCTCCTTTAGGGCTGTAATTCCAAACACCCCTTCCAGGGCAAGGTTACATGTATTGACAAGCCAAAGGCCCACAGCCCTTTAAGATAGAAAGATCTTCTTTATTAATGAACCCCAACAGTATTTCTTCAGATACAGGAGTTTTGAACTCAAATACTCAGAAGAAATCAAGTTAATATTGCATTATTCTCATAAGAAATACTGCAACTTATTTCCGGTAACATATTGCAAAGCGAAACAGCTTGAAAAGAAAAAAAAATTAAAAAAGAAAAGAAATTAAGTCAATCAAACTGGAATTAAAGTTTTGTTTCTTGGAACGATCGAGTCCTCGCAAGCACAGCTCGTTTCTGCAGATTACTCCCCCAACTGTCGTACAAACAGACCCCGATTGCTTGAATTCCTTATGAGCCCACAGAGGTGCAACATTAAAAGCTACGATTATCTGGTAGCAAGTGCCCCAACCTTCGTTCTCCACGGCAGCCTCTGACCTGGCGTTAACGGGTTGTGAACGTCTTCCCCCTGAAAGGATGCAGAAAGGGGTCAGCACAGCTCCAGGGGGTTGTGGGACTTGTGGTGGGGCACATGCAGCTGAGCTCTCAAAGCCAGGCAGGCACTGCTGGGTTGGAGCTCCCATGGTCACAGGGCTGGGGAGGGGCTGGCTTTTGCAGAGGGGACAACCCTTGTGCCCCAAAGCAAAATGCAAAGGGGACATGACAGAACACAGAGAAAAAAGGACACCAAGGGGCTCCGGGCAGGGGGCAAGGAGAGGGCAAGGACCTAAGCAGAGGGCAAGGACCCAAGCAGAGGGCAAGGACCCAAGTGAAATGTTCACACAATTGTGCTCCTCCCTCCACTCTAGGTGCTTGTTCACAAGAGGGAGCCAGCCAGCATGGTGGCCTAACCCCAGCCATCAGCTGGTCAAGGGCAGCCAGGGACTGAGGAGCTGCAGACACACCTGCAGCAAAACCTGCTCCTGTGCCCACAAACTGCAAGGATGGACCTGGTTCCTCTCCCTGCCATGAACTGGAGATGCCCGAGAACTGGACAGCCAGCTCTGATATAACAAGGAAAAAGCCCCAGGAATGCCACCAAGGGGCTTGGTGGGGGGAAAGTGAAGACAGAAGGGCTTGCAAAGACATGTATGAGCCTTTTGCAAAGGACCTGCCAACACAGGGTTTTACCACAGACCCAGCTCCTCACAGGCTATCGGAGGCAGTAAGCTGTGCGTCACCCCCACAGCACCCCAGCCTGCCCTGGACTGCGGTATGCCAAGCTGAGCAAGACAGAGCTTGTGGCTAGCAGAGAAGCCCAGAGAGCCAGGCCCTGCTTTGCTACTCACGTGATTGTTTTCATTTCTTTTTTCTCTGCATCCGGACGGGCACGGTTGAGCACCTTGAGGAAATCTGACGTTTTCGCCCTCATACGTGTGTGAATATAGGCCTGTGTTTCATTAGGATAAAATGGGGACACGTCAGGACCCTGTCTTCATAGCTGAGATTTCAGGACATGTCAAAAGCCAGGTCACTCTGAACAATTACCCTCATTTCTGTTCCCAGAAATGAAATAAACCAAATCCAAAAGGGAAAAATCTTACTTCACTGCTAGAATGAAAAGAGTCTTGTATCCAAGAGCAGGGAGAAGGCAATGATGCATCATTTGCCACCCCTACATGACTGGGGAAGGCAATGGCAGACCCAGTTCTTAAGGAGCACCCTGTCTCCCTTCTCCCCCTTCAGCACCCAGGTTAGATGGGCTGAAGCCACCCTGTGTTCCCTGGCCCTCGTACCTTCGAGCACTTGATGTGATAGTGCAGATAGTCCCGGAATGTGTGGATCAGGTTTATGGTGTTGTCTCTGGCTGCAGCATTGGTGTGACGGGGGAACAGCACTGAAAGACGAAACCAACATAGACCATTAGCATCTCCTGAGGCTGCCCAAGGCCTTCAGGATACTCCAATGCTGGAGGCTTCAGGKTGTGCTGCATTGAATCCCTGCCTTGCTCTCTATAAAGAGCCCTTTACTCTTGACACATACCAAGAGTAAGCAGCACTTGTGATTTAAAATGCAAGGCTTAAGAACACTTTTCAACATTTCCCACAGCAGTCTGCAAGATGCAGGCAACGCCAAGTGCCCAGAAACAATGGCAGGTAGGAAACTGCATGACACTGTATCGGTGCTTGGGAGATGCAATTGGAGGAGCAAGCTGGGAGGCAGACCAGGGCACCCAGGCTGCTCAACCAATTTCAAGATCCAGTCTGCCCTGGAATTTTTAAATTGGTGGTGGATCTTTGCCTGGCAGCTTGTTGGCCCTGTAACACAGACTTGGATACAAGCAGGTAAGTTTGCTCTTCCCATAAGCTTGTGCTCTGCTAGGCTTCCCAGATCCAAGGGCCGACAGAACATTTTGTTTGGGTGATGATCTTACCTGAGACTGTCAGATCAGATAACTTGGAAACTTAGCCTCAACAAGAACAAAGTATATGCCATCCCAGACCTGCCCTTTCCAGAGCTGATAGCTGCCTGGGCCTCAAGGCACCATACCCAGCACAGGAGGAGGGCAGCGCTACCTTCACCTTTCCCTGTCTGTGCTCCATCTCTGAACTCTAAACTACATGGACGCTGGCCTGAGAGACCCTAATAACACACCCAACCATCACCCCCAATTTCTCTGGAAGAGGCCTATCCCTTTGAACAGGGCAGGGTTTAGTCTCCTCAACACTTCTACCCAGAGAAAAGTCGTGACTCTGCTGGCCACCACCTCTGCAGGCAGGAGAAAGTGGCTCATCAGTGTTTGGCCCTGAGCAAAGAGGCAGAGCTGGAGAAACAGAACACACTGCCCTGCTGCTGCTCTCCGACTGCCTCTGCTGCTCAAGCACTGCACAGCTCCCTGCAGCTGGATAACCTACAAGTACAGCTGCATGCAACCTTTCACAAGAAACCTCCAGTTTCCACAATATCACAGCAAAACCACTCTTCTCTTTGCTCCCAAATACTGAACTTATTTTGTAGGCAGACACTAAAYAGCTCACTTTCCACTTCCACATCTTCTTGCCCACAGCAGAGCTGAGGTGACCTGATACRGAAARGGGACACTCCAAAGGAGGCRCAYAAGACAGAATGCAACCCCAGAGTCCCTGCAGCCCTCAACGACCCACTTCAACATTCAGGGAAGGTGAATTCCTTTGTGTTTTTCATGCTGCAGCAGGAACCTCTCTCCTCCCCCAGCCATACCCAAGCCTCAGAGCTGGCTGCTTACCAAAGGTGATGTAGCCAATATTATCGCCAACGGCTGCGTCTGTGTCTTTCAGCTCCAAGGGTGGCTCCCTGTGGCTGAAGAGCACCTGTGGGGCTGTGTGACTGGCCCGGCGACCCTCCTTGAACTCCTGAATAAGACAAAGTGAAGGTGATTCCCACTGTGACCCTTCAGCAACATGCTGGAAAAGCAAAAGGGGTTTTCTCACTCGCCAAGGACAATTGCCCAGCTTTTCCTGAATGGATTAAGTTCATCAGGCCAAACACCCAGAAAGCGACCCTTTCTCCCAGCAAAACCAGCCCAAAGTGCCTGGCTTTCAGTGTGTCACAGCCCCACCATGGGTGTTTTGTGGAAGGGACACCTCAGTTTGAGCAAGCACATGAGACAGCACAGCTCCTGCTGGAACTTCAATGCTTCCAGTCAAAGCGGACAGTGCCCATCATTCCAGAGGAACAGCAATTCTCTGGAAGGGCTGCAAGGTCTCCATCACACCTTGTGTGTGTAAAGGTTCTGCCATTTGAGAAACCATCTCCCACCAGGAGTCTGCCCAGGCATCAAGAAGCATCTAGGGGTTTGAAGCATGTATGTGAAGCCTGCTCCTCTTAACGCTTCCCTACACCTTGAAACAATACCTTCAGGCAGGGAGCCCCCTTCCCCCATCTGTGACAACAGCACAACCCCCACCTCACAGGAAATGTACTGGCTGTGCATTTCAAGAACTGTAAGGACCATCTATTTGTGGGACTGGCAATGTCCAGAGACCATTCTCCTGCCCTAAGGCAGGGCAATCTCCCCCCTGCCTCACCGACCTCCAACCCAACCTAACACATTGTCAATTACCCTTGGCCTCTTCTCTAAGCACAGTTTCCCCCAGGAAAGGCAGGAGCATCCATGCCCCTTTTAGAGCAGATCTTTGGGGCTTTCTAATGAAATGCTTAGCTTGCACTTCTGCCTGCTTTTGCCAGAGGGTGAAATGGTTCAAATGGCTTCACTGGTTAGTTAATGGTCACATTTTCTCCATGAGAGCCCAGATGAGCAGCCACCATGCCCAGCTACATTATGCTAGAGCAATAGCTGGACGGAAAGAGCCAGTGTGACTCAGAGTGGAAATTCCTGTGGCTGGGCAGAGGCAGGGTTTGCTGTTGTAAAAACCAAGAATTTGGGACATGGAGACTCCGGGACAGCTGCTGCCTTGAAGCACTGCCATCTTCCCAGGAACCTCACTAACCCCATTTTGTTCACATCATGCCTCCCTTCCCATWTTAAAAGCTGAATTCCAGCCTGAGGGATATGCTTGGTGGGGAAAACCTCAAAGCCAGACCAGATGTGCTGCCTGTAGCTAATGAACACAGYGAACAGAGCTGTGAAATAAGACTTCCATTGCAACAGACAATGGAAGACAATGTCCTGATGACACTTAACACAGGTAAACTGGTCTCCAGCAAACTGGGCCAATAACTTGCTGTCCATGAGCCTGTCAGTAGCATGGCCTGGCCCTTGAACAAGCGGGTTAAAGCTCCTCTACCCCTGCTCCATGGCCATGCCCACACAGGAGGCGCCCTAGGAGCTTCAGTGGATGAGTGAGGGGGGCCAGTAGCATGGATGAACACAGGTACCAGCATGCACTGAGCCTCTCCAGCTGCATGCAGATGTCTCAATCCACACAGGCTGCTCACAGTCATTCACAGGCAAGCAAAGTGTTTACTAGAAGTCTCTCAATGCTTCCCAGCGAAATGGCAGCTGCATAAGGTGAGTCCAAAGGTACTTAGTATATTCATAGCTCAACAAAGCTGAAATTTGAGAGCTGTCACATTGAGTTGCTGAGTCTTTTTGTAGCATTTGAGCATTAGCAGGGAGAATCTTCAAGGTGAAGACCACTCTCAGCTCCATTTCAGGTGTGGCATGACATTGTCTCACCCTTCATCTCCCTTTACAGCCTCCTCAACATGCTCAGCTCCTCAGCTGGCTGGTGAGCCCTACACCATAGCTATCCACACTACAGGGCCTCAGTGTGGGGACTGAAGTATTCACTGTGGTGTTTCTCATCCCTAACACATAATATGGTTGATTGTCCAAATGAGCAAGACTATTGATGATACAGATGCCAATGCAATAGCCAGGAAAATACACTGCCTATGCCTATTAGCATGTTCTTCCATCCCAGTGCAGCATGAAGCAAAGCATTTACATGTGTTAAACCGCCTTTGTGCTCACTTCAGCTCAACTTCAGCAGCTTATTTGGCAATGCTGCTTCAAGCAAGCAGGTATCTGAATTGAGGAGCAGATCCTTTCCCTGTAATGCAGTTTCCATACCTGCATAAACACCTTTCCGATCACCACGTCATCATCGTCCTTAAATACTGTGCTGAACACAACTGTGACACGGTCCTTCTTTGCCTCAACATACCTGCAGGTGGGGAAGAGAGAAGCCAGCTCTAAGAGAGAAGCCTGATCTAAGAAGTTCAAATGGACGAGGAAGCAACTGTGTGACAAGGTCAAGTAGATAAAACAGCCATTCACAGGCCTGGCTGCTGAAAATTTCCCCTCCCTTAAGACAGTATTTACAGGGAGCAAAACATTTCTGCTGGGAGTGGCCAGTTCCTCTCCTGCATGCCGCCACAAGTGCTACCACTAACAGAGACTCTTGTGTAACATCCCAGCAGCCCGAGGCATGAACATTACCCTCATGGGATACTTGTGGCAGCCTAGGACAGGCCCTTATTACCCTGCCAAAGCATGGAGCAGTAGGATTTCCTGACTTTCCATCACAACCTACAGCTGTGCACAGGAGCAGTCGACTGACCTGTCTGATTCCCGTGCTGCTTGGTTTGAACACTTACATTGTCTCATCGTCCCTGTAGTGGATGACTGCTCTTTTTTCTCCATCTTTGCCCTCTTCCTGGAATTTGAAATACTTCTCAAAGACTGAAGCAAAGCAGTTGCGCTTCAACATGCCGGCTTGGTGCACAATGGCATCCTTGTCTGCAGGAAGGTTCTCCAGGTCGTACAGCAAAGAGACATTGTAACCTGGGAAGGGAGAGCCACTAACCTTAATAACCTACATAGGGCCTTAATGAAAGCAGAGACATTTTCTTTAAAGAGACACCTACAGTCTCATTTTTGACTTAAATCCTCCTAAAAGCCCCAGAGGTGAGTTCTTCCCACTCCAAACACTGCCAAAAGCTGTGCTTGAACTCGGCGCGTGGCCATGGCAACGTTCCCAGCGCTCCTTCACCAGCTCCCAGACACACGTGCTGGCTGAACTGCTCCCAAGTTTTTGCAGTGAGTAGGAAGAGACGTTGTCACAGGTAACCATGGTTTTCCTGTGTCTCACAAAGCATCTCTGAGAAGAACAAAGACCCCAACCATGAAGAACAGAGGCTTCCTGGAGGAGGACTGAATAACGAATTACAGCTTGTGCTGCAAGCTCCTTCAGCCCTGACGTGTCTCAGCCACCTTTTAAACTAGCAATTTCAAACTGCCATTCATTGTACAGAGAGCTCCACATATCAAGCTCTTCAAGTGCAGCCTTCATATGAGCATTTCTCAGGTGACTTAAGTAACTTTGGAATTGCATTTACACACACACACACAGACATAGACAGAATGAATGTTATTGCAGGGTTACCTGATTCAGGATTTACCAAGTAGCTTCCATAGACTTTCTTCAATACCTAGAAAAGAAATTAAACATTGAGAGCACAAGCTATCAAGAGTTGTTTCCTCCTGGACAACCTAGGCCATGTTTGGTCTTTTAGAAACATCAAATTACAGTACCTGCCTGCCCTAGTGTAAGAGAACTTAGACAAATATTAAGTCATTGACTTCTGGTACTATTGGCTGTTCCTGCTCTAGGGATGGCTCCTTGAACTCCACTGACAGGGGACATACTGCAGGAGAGGACTCAAAACTGGAACTTTTTCCAGTTCTTACTTGTTGGACTTGTGTGGGGAAGAAGCCATACAGCTCATACCTTCAAAGGAGAGAACTATTAGCAGAGCCTGACACAACAGATCTGAGGGCTTTTCCTCCCATTCAAAGGCAGATGCAAAGTGTTCCTGGTCCCTCTCATGGGACGGCAAGTTCAGAGCACACCGTGGCAGGATGATCACACACTGTCTCAGCCTATTGCACGGACAGATTGGAATTGAGAGGAAACTGCCAGGCAGCTTGGATGCCTCCGAGAAGCAGAACCGCCTACAGCAAAGCAAAAACCTTTCTTCAAACATAATCACTGCTGAATTTTACATCAATGGCAATTTCCAGCTGAGCCATAGCTCTGTGTCAATGAGGGGGCTGGGAACAGGAGGTACTTCACAAGAACATAACAATGCTGTGGTAGAACTGGCCCTCCTGGGATGACACCCACTACCATGTGGAAAGGATACACAGGCGCTCTGCATGCCAAAACCTCCTCTCAGCAGAGAGCCTGCCTACAGCGGCCCAAGAAGGTGCCCTGTCTTAGCAGGAACCTCAGTCTGCATTCCTCAGTGTGCAGTTTCACCAAAGACAGAGCAGAAACAAGCAACATGGTCTGGCAGGGAAGTACAGAAAGCAGCCTTGTGACAACTGGAGATTAAAAAATGTAATTTCTATTTAGTCAGCACTTCCAAGGCAGTCCTGCACAGATCCCATTTTCCTCTAAAAGTTTAGGAAGTTGCCTTCCACCACTACCACACTGGCTGTTAGTGGGTTCCCTTGGGATCACACACTGCACTGATCCTCACTAAACATACTGGGAAGACTCCACCATTTAAGGCTGCTTGACATTCCTGATGCCAGGACAAGTGCCTTCAGTAGCGGTCAATGCTGCTCCTAGAAAGCTCTGCAATCAGGAACCAGGAAAGCAGGACACTCCATCATATCTCTTCTGACCTAGGTGGGTCTTGTGGCAATTCACACGAACTCACTTTGGGTTCAAATCATYTGTCACTCACAAGAAACTGATGCAGCAGTTTCCTTGTTTTCTTCCAAGAACAGACACTTAGAAGCAAAAGCCCACTGATAAGCCCTGGGTGAACCTCATTCACTACCATGCGGAGATTTGAAAACTGACTCAGGAACTGAGTCACACTTCCTGCCTTGCCATCCAACCACAGTTCAGAGAGGCTCCTTC